GTGACCATTTTTCTTGTTATTTGCCGATCAAAACTGATCATTAACTGATCATTCAACTATTAAGTGCTAGGACCGGAAACCGTTACTAAAGGAAGATCCTACTTTGCCGCTTGCAGTTCGGCATGCTGTGAGCAACTGCGAGAAAGAAATGGCTCAGAAATTAAACGAAGATGGGGGTGCTTTGATGAAGGCCGGTTTTTTCCTGCCTGCAGGGTTAGCAAATTTGCAAAACAACTATATACCTAGAATGCAGTTGCGTCAACAATGGTCAGGCACAAAAGGCTTTGAGGAAAGCAGCAGGTTGCAAGGAGGAAGAGGATGAACGTGGGGAAGAATCTTCGGAGCTATCCGACGCTTTAATGAAAAAACCAGCTGCTAGAAAAAAACCAGCTAGCAAAAACCAAGGCCGGGGAAGGGGACGTGCGCGAGGCAGTTCTGGGCGAGGACGAGGTAAAGGAAGAGGCAGGGGAAGAGCAGCAAAGCAACCACCAACCATCAAAGGAACCAAGGACACAGGAAAGCGAAAGGAGACTGATAAGCCGAAGGGCGAACCAAAAACAAAGAAAGCAAAACAGGACTGTTTGGTGCATGTACACGCATTGCCGCATTATATATATAATATATATATATAGTTTTGTTTGCAGGAGACACCATCAGCTGCTGCAGAACCAAAGGACGACTATATGGAACAGCTAGTACATCTCAAAAGCCTTGATCCGAAATCCTTTGATTTGCCAGATGAAGCTCGCAAAGGCAAAAAGAAGTTCGAACCCTATTTTTGTTCCTGCAGATGAATTCACACTCAAGTCTTGAATCTCTTAGTCCTTATTAGTTATTTCGGTATTGACATGAGCTGCTAATCAGGTCATACTCCTTGGACGGTCCAAAAGATGAGATGAGCAAAATTCAAGTTCTGCTGCATCCCTAGTTAGTTTGTCTTACAATTCAATCGGAATGTTTTGTTTTAGCCTGAGCCATCCCCAGGCTCACAGGAAAAGCTTTCTATATCAACTCCATGGAAAACAATATGGAGCGCCTTGCACAGTTCAACAAGAAGTGGAACTGCAACTTCCAGGTGGCTCTGAGATGGTTTGAATCTGGGTCCCCCCTCCATCATCGACCATCGCCGCAGGTTAACAAGAAGAATCCTCCCGGATTGACGGTGGGATGGGGCAAATTTGATGACAGCTTGTCGGCGTGGGGCCCTCATGTGCTTATTCCTCGTAATTACAGTTATACGTTATATGTGAAATTCCACGGTGCATACCCTTTGATTTTGGTCATTCCGAGGTGGTACACAGCAAAGTTCTTAGCAGGTTGGGACGACACACCTCTCAGGGAGGTGTCTTGATCATGCCAGCTCCAACTTGATGCATCAGTCGCCAGGGGAAAAAACTTTTCAATTGCAACATGTGTGGCCTTCTGGAATCTCACGTAGATAGATCTGAGTATATAGCTGGATTGTGATACACGCACCTGTGAAATTCCAACGTTATTGGTCGTCGATAAACATGCAGCAATTTGAAAAGATCAAACTTTTTCCCTTTGGGGGCACTGGTACTATGGCCGGCTCCAAAAAACCGGCATGGATGGCCAAGAGCATTGCCCTGACCCGGAACTCCGTCCATGTCCTCATCGCTTTGGGTTTCCCAATTGTGATGCCACTGCCTCAGATCAGAAAGCTGGGTCATCGGCACGGAATCTAAAAGATTTAGATTTGAAGTTTGAAACCCAAGTTGTTTCAAGGATACACCTATGTGACTTTTTGAGCCAGCAGCACGATGTGGAAAGGGATGGAACCTTAGAAGGTTTGTTTCGTAACTTTGTCGTGTATACTCGCATGTGCTGACAATTCACTTTGTTAGGACGTGTACTGCTATGACATGTTCGCTGGAAAAAAGTCCATATCTCGGGGGTTCGGCCAGGAGCCAAGAGCTGTTTCAAAATTATGGTGCATGGAGATTACACCACAGCAATACCTACAAAGTTGTTAATTACTTCGTTTGAGGCTCTTTTGGATATAAAACGTCCAGCCCTCAAAAGAAGTCCGTGGGTCTCATCTCATGAATTGGATCTGCATCCTTTCAGGGAGTTCATGGAAATTTCTGAGCGAGCTGAAGACAATTTGCTTACCGTGTCTAGCCCTCAGCTCGTCCAAACTTCTCTTCTCTAGCACCAACTTTTGCCGCCGCCCGCTTGAGGGAAGGACTTTGCAGGGCCACTTTGCAGATTCTTCGGATCGTCAGAGAGGGTCTTGCCTTCGCCGGATTACCGTGTGGGAGCTTCATATTTTTGAACCGATCCACCAGCCAGAGAAGTGCAATCAGACCCCTCGGAGACCAGGAGAAACAATATATTAGAGACGCCAATACGTTTTCAAGCCGCATTGAATCTCAATGCTTTGCAGGTTCAATTTTTCTAATTTATATATATATATATATCTATCTCTCTCTTTCTCTCTCTCTCTCTCTCAGCTCTATATATATATATATAAGACTTTCATAATATAATTATATGGGTGTTTCGAATGCCAAATAATTGCCCTGACATTTCTCGACGCCTCGAACCTCAGGCTTGGATGTCGAATGATGATGCTTTTTCTTTTGGCCTCCATCCGGGAAGTGTTTTGGGAAGCAGAGCAACCGGGCTCTAGTTTGTTTCCCAAATTCCCTTATGCACGTTTTGTGGCCAAGATGTTGCGGAGCGAGATTCCTGTCCGAGTTGAACGATTGTCGGAATCTCAAGCTTATGTGATGATGGTCAATGCTAATTGCAAATAAATCATGTGACTTCTACTACAGATCCTGTAACACGAAATACCCACTTGTTTCCAACCACACTTCCGCTCAGCTGGATGGCATGGTTTGGCCATCGCAGTCCCAAACCGAGCCTGGTGGTAGGAACGGCGCTGGGCCCTCAGCGAATCAACAACAGTCGAGACAGGTTTTGCTGTGCAAGTTTGATATACATAATTTCATATTTCATTATATATATATATATATATACATCCATGGTGACGTCATGCCCAGGCCATGGGCTGGTAAGTTATACCAAAAGCTCCCAAAGCGCGACAAAAGAAAACTTGGCCTTACCTCCAAAGGGGTTGTCAAGCGGAAGGCAAAGGCTGATGGCTCTGTTTCTGTGCCAAGGCCCTAGATTGATTTCAGCTTCGAATTCATTCTTTCATGTGATCATGATCAAACATTTTGGATTCCTACTTGCTGGATCAGGAGTGGAGGACCAAAGTTGAAGCAAACACAGGTATACCCTGATCAATTTGGGGTTGCTGTCGCAAAGTACCACCTTGAAAGTATGGTTCGGACCTCAACTTCCAAATTACTGGAGTCGAATCTATTTTAGTTTAATGATCATTATCATGCCGATGACACAAAATTAGGCTGGGTCATGTGGAGAAATGGCAGCCGCTGTGAAGTACTTGGACAACGGAGCCACAATTAAGGCTGAAGGGTTCGTTCCAGTCCGGTTTGGCCTATATATACCTGTATGATCCCATATATATATATATATGATAATAATGAATAATCCTTGGGATTATATATATTTATATTCGAATCTTTATATAAATATGTATATATCCCCCTGGATGACCCGAATATCAGGCTACATATTACCCTGCTGCTATAGCAGCGCTATGTATATGGGGATTGATTTCAAAAACCCTTTCACCTCGCCCTTCCATGTGGCCAGGGTGGCAAAGCTCGGGCACCCTACAACTGGAAGCATGCGAATTTGGAGCCAGTCCGGGAATTCCTCAGCGAACAAATCCGGCTGGGAAACTATGTGCCAGCATTTCCTTTTAAGTAGGTTAGATCTGGAATGCAGACTATCCCCCGCTTTAACTTGAAGCGGTTGCTAATTCGGAGATTCGTACAATAGAGATGCAAGCACGGGATATTTCCAGCTCATGGGTCATAGTTTATATTAAATTTCACGAGCTCCTGGGATTTTGTGATTTTTAGGGAATATTGGATATCAAGGTCAAGATGCAATATTTGGTGCAGTGTACGCGCACAAGGGTCGCACGAAAAAACTTAAGCGTCATGGTTTGCACGGGTTTGCACTGGATCAGCCTTCCATAAATGGAATTGGTCCAATTAATCGTTCAGAAAAAATGAAACGGTCGGAAACGGTCGGAAACGGTCGGAAACTATTTTGCCGAGAGAAGGTGCGATCTCCGACTGTTTCCAACCGTTTCCCCTTGGACACCTTTGGACCTTCCAAAAAAAAAACTGCGTTGCGCGGAAATGTTTTTTTTAAGAAATGCGGGTTGGACAAGTTTTGGCCTGATCATGTTTCCGACCGTTTCCGACCGTTTCCGACCGTTTCCGACCGTTTCATTTTTTCTGAACGATTAATTGGACCAATTCCATTTATGGAAGGCTGATCCAGTGCAAACCCGTGCAAACCATGACGCTTAAGTCTTTTCGTGCGACCCTTGTGCGCGTACACTGCACCAAATATTGCATCTTGACCTTGATATCCAATATTCCCTAAAAATCACAAAATCCCAGGAGCTCGTGAAATTTAATAATAGTTTACGATATTCGTAGAAAATACTTTACGATTTACGTAATTGGGCCCGATACCCCAGGAATCCTATCATTTTACCTGGGAAATATGAGGAACCCTGAGCATTTATTCCCGTTTATTTCAGAAATTGGGAGGAGGTGATTCAAATCGACAAAAAAGTGTGAATTTCTGAAAACCGTGAAAAGGCCGTGAAAAACCCGTGAAAACCCCGTGAAAAGGCCGTGAAAAACCCGTGAAAACAGGGATTTTCGAATCTGCAAAAAAAATGAAATTTTGATGTTTTTTTTTCGGTCTGGAGATGAAATTTTACTAGATTTTCACAAGGTTTTCACGGTCTTTCCGGGGAATTTTCACTATAACTCCTTGAATTTCACGATATTCGTAAATATTGCTTCCTTTTAAGCCACATTTTGGCTTCCAGCCTAGCTGCACAGCCCTAGTTGCCTGCGATGGTGAGAGAGGGCCTAGTTGCGAAGGTTCTTCAACAGGCCAAGGAAAGGCGTGCCAGGTTGGAGAAGCACCTAGGCCTCTATTACGGTTTTTATAGCATGCATGATGTTTATAATTTCGATGTCAATGCAATATATACCAAGGGATTCTGGGATATATTGCATGATTTCAAGATCGCCTTAGGTGTACTCTTGAACATCCAGTCGCTGCAAAGTCAAAAGCAGAGCCGAAGAAAGCCCGCCTACATCCAAGCTCGATTGATCCAGATTAATATATGCGAATACCCAGTGATATGTGTTATCATTTTATATGTACATATATATATATATTTTTTTACATATATTACTATAGAGATATAGATCTAGATCTAGACAATTTGTATGCAATCCCCTTTATGTCTCTCTCTTCTGCATATTTGCGCCGGCCCTGAGGTGAGAACGTGGCCATCGCCCCAAAGGTCCCGATCAGTTGTCCTCTGCTTTCGCCACCAGCAAAGCGGATTCGGAGAAAGGGTTCTGATGCAACAATTAAGTCCAAACCTTCGGTTGAATCTCTAGATTCATGTGACAAGGGTGCGCTGTCCCGGCTTGGAACCATCGACCAAATGGGCACCCCTGGTAGTACTGTGGAACCATCACCACGGCCCAGGAAACTACAGTTTTCACCACCAGTTTCTCAGGAGACTCTGATTGGCGCAAAGACACCGACTCATAACAGTGATTCGAATTCTAGCAAGCCCTCTGTACGTATGAGACAGTACTTGCAAGATCAGAAGAAGCAGAAGCAGAAGGCGGAGGCAAAGGCAAAGATTAGGAGAAGCAAAGCATTCACAGAATCACCCAAGACAGTTATGAAGAAGCCAGCAGCTGCCAAGGCCGCACCAGCCAGAGCACCGTCAGGTGCATCCGTTGTGAAGCCATCCCAGAAAGCGTTGAGTCTTGCCCCCCCGGTTCAGACTCCCCCACAAGAGGCACAGCAGGCACAGCCTGAGGCTGAGGTTGAGGATCCTGGTCTTGACAAGTTGGCACACAAACTCTACATGCGCTACTGGAGAAGTGTCAATGAAAGCCGCTTTGTTGGCATGTATAGTCATTGAGCTACGTAGGAGTTACAGTTTGGTATACCCTCATACATGTCAAACCAGAAGCTGATTTGCACCTAGATCGCACGACGCCGACTGAAATCAAGAAGCTTCACAAACGGTTCAAGTACTGTCTTGGCCTTATAATTTTAATTTCATTCTTGAAGTCAAAGCATATACTTAGCAATTCCCATGGTTCTCCTACCTGCCCTGCATGCCAATGCTGTGAGGCAAGGAGCAGCAGAGTGCCCTCTATGAGGACTTTCTGAAATGTGGCGGGAAGTGGACTGAGTCTTCCATATACAAAGAAATCACCAACACGCACACAGGGAGGTCACGTGGAGTTCGCAGGTGGTGCACTGAGAAACAGCTCTTGCAATACTTTACTGCACAAGAAGTCCAAGCGATCATTCATCGCAAGGTCAATGACAAGGACCTTCGGTCGAAGGAAGTCCGGGATCACCCGGAATGCAATGAGTTGCAGCAATACTTGACTCTAGTTGAGGATGAAGAGGAGCAAATTGCAGAATCACGAATCACTGACGTTTTCAAACTCAAGGTTTCAGAGAAGGCTGAGGATCAGGATGATGACGATGACAGCAGCGGAAGTGAGGAGGAGGACTGGTACTAGTACGAAAGGGGAAGTTGCAGCAATACTTGACTCTAGTTGAGGATGAAGAGGAGCAAATTGCAGAATCACGAATCACTGACGTTTTCAAACTCAAGGTTTCAGAGAAGGCTGAGGATCAGGATGATGACGATGACAGCAGCGGAAGTGAGGAGGAGGACTGGTACTAGTACGGTGGTCCCTGCAGAGGCAATAGAAAATGCACGATACAAGCAACACACACACACATTCAATAATCTCATTATTTCCCCATATTCATATCCCCATGTATCCCCATGTGAATTTCGAAGTAGACACAGGCACCCAATCCTTTTCAAACCTGGAAGGATGAGACTCCCCAAAAGAAAAAGAAAGCACCAGGAAAGGGAACGAAGGCCAAGAAAAAGAAGAATAGCAAGAAGGCAAAGAAAGGGAAGAAAGCTAAGAAAGGGAAGAGCAAGAAGGAAAAGAAAGCAAAAGGGAAGGATGAAGATGAAGATCCCGACCCAAAGGAACTTCGACGGGCTGTTGTCAAACAGGCCAAGAAGGCAGGTTTCCCCGCATGCAACTCACACCCTCGGTTTTTTCTAGACCAACTGGCTTTATCATTTCCCTCAGGCCATTCAGGATTTGAACAAGAAGATCCAAAATGCCAATTCCAAGAAGCTGTCGACTTCCGGCTGGCCACCAGTTTCAAATTCATATATATAACTTATATATATATATATCTATATGTTAGCAATATAGTATATATATATATATATACTATATTCTATATATATATATATATATATGTAGTCTGGAGTCAGCAACCCCTTACTGCAGCTAGATCTTGGCAACTCAGGTCACAGAAAATGCGTGAGGTCATGGTCCAAGAGATTGATGCCCAAATTTCGGTCCTGATGAAGATGCGAGAGAAGCTTCAGCGATCCTTAGACAAAGACGAGCAGGACCCAGCAGCATCATGGAATCAATGGTTCAAGGGTCAATTAGGTCATGGGTAAAAACTATTTGGGATTTCTTGTCGTCGCCAGGATGACAAAATCAACAGCTTGGTGAAGGAAGCCA